GTGTGTGTGTGTGTGTGAAGGTGTGTGTGTGTGTGTAGTATCCAGGAAATACCAGCACTTTCACTAAAACCCTGGAATAACTTCCAGCCCTCAGCAGCCAATCAGATCGCTGCATGTGTTCCTAGTTTAACATCTGTTTGTTTCATCTGTTCTCAGACGAACATGAATCATTCATAAAGATGTTAAACAATAAAACTCACAACATGTAAAACCAGAAGTAGAACAAGTTTAATGAGGTCGTTCATTAAAACGTCAGTTTATTCTGAAGGTTCACTCTCTCACTCTTTCATGTCTTTCTTTGTTTTTACTCTTCCTCATATAGTAATATATATATATATATATATATATATATATATATATATATATATATAGAATGTGTAACGTGTGTGCTGTGTGTATTTATGTATGTACTTGATCTGGTCTCGTGAGGAGCAGTTCCTCCTCCAAGCCTCCAGGGGGCGCTGAGCAGCTCAGAGTCCACCCGTCAGTCTGTTTACATGTAGCCGCGCTAGCTTTAGCTTCTGCTGAGCGGTAAGTTGAGCTAAAATAAACTGTATTCAGATTCAATTAAATGTCTTTACTGCGATAGTAAATGTACCTTCAAGCTTTGTCAGACAGCAGAGCGACATGAAACACCAAGGTCTCTTTAAGCCTCTGTATCCGGTCACACGGTGCCAGACTCACTTCAGAACTCTGAGACTTAAAGTTAGTCTTCCTATTAACGGAGAACAGTCGCGTATTCTTAACTGATTTAGACATTATATGAATCTGTAGAAGCCAGTTGTAAATTAGGCTTAAATAGTACGGACCAAACACTCATTTGTTGTAATGTTTGTTGTATTTCACGTCAGAGTGACGTAGTTTTCTGTCTCAGCGTAGTTCTTTAAAAACGAAACGTAGTTATGAACCAGTTCTGTGTTCAGTAAATAGACTTAAATAAAAGTGATTTAAGTCTCAAGGTTTACTAAACTCTGAACCTCAGATGGGACTTTTCAAAATAAAATGAACAATTAGAGATTATATCTTCACCACGTTTCAGATGAAGATATTTTAGCTTTTTACTCCATGAAGTTACAGTAATTTAATGGCTGATAGATATTATTATTATTATTATTATTATTAAAGCTTCCGGTGTTGTTTTGTAACTTTATTCTGAAGGAAACTGTTGAAAACGTTTCCATCAACTGGTCTTCAACATGGTCAAACAGAGAGCAGACAGGTAAGGACTGGTTCTAGTGGTTCTAGTGGTTCTAGTGGTCACTGGTAGGATCCACGTGATCAGCTGTTCTCTGGTTGGACTGTGTGTCTCCTCTCAGGTGTTTCATACCTGCCGCAGCGAGCAGCGTGACGGGGGTTCGATTCCCGGTCGGCCCCGTTCACAGGAGACACCTCCCGACTCAGCCGGTCGACAGCTCCTCCTCCACCACCGAAGAAGAGAGAGGAGAGCCGGGACCCCATGGAGGTCCAGGAGAGACAAAGAGGGCCCGACTGGACGGGTCTGTTACTGTTGATGTTTATGTAGAATATTAATACAGAAACATAACTCTATTTAACAGATCATCACTTTTTATTATTGATTACTAAACAAGATCAAATAAATTGTTACAAAATCAAGCTTTCAAATGTTTTTTATGTTTCATAAAAGCAAGTTGAATAAAGTAAACAGATCTGCAGTTCCTTTAGTTATCAAAGAGACACAAACAAACAACAACATAACTCATGTTTATACTGTGTTGTTGTTGTTGTTCTCTCAGAGCTGTAGAAGCAGCAGCTCTGACCAATCGAGAGAAAGTCCCAGCGTCATGTGATCAATCAGGAAGTGAGAGCAGCTCCACAGCAGGTGTGTGTCTGTGTGTGTTGTAGTTGTTGTGAAGCAACTGTAGTTTCAAATCAAAATAGTAGGATGCTCAGAGCGGCGGACATTTTTTGGTGTAACGTGTGTGTGTGTGTGTGTGTGTGTGTGTGTGTGTGTGTGTATCTCAGACGATGTTCGGTCCAGACTGACTCCAGACCAGCAGGCAGCAGAACCCAGTGATGACAGCAGAGCAGCTGAGGTGATGAAACACTGACATCATCTCAGGTCATGACATCACTCATGGATTCACTGTTGTAATACTTCCTGTGTGTGTGTGTGTGTGTGTGTGTCAGCTACAGCCTGTGAGGTCACTGAAGGTAACCATCCAGCAGAGCAGTGAGAGCAGAGAGTTTGGACAGACAGACAGGACAGCTGACAGACAGACAGGTGGACTCCACTGTCACGTCTGTGACCTCACCTGTCGCTCTCTGCAGGTGAGAAACACAGCAGTACTACGGTACTGTAGTATTGTAGTACTGTAGTATCCTAGTATTGCAGTACTGTAGTACTGTAGTATTGTAGTACCGTAGTATTGTACTACAATACTACAGTACTACAATACTACGGTACTATAATACTACAATACTACGGTACTACAATACTACAGTACTACAATACTACGATACTACAGTACTACAGTACTACAATACTACGGTATTACAATACTAGGATACTACGGTACTACAGTACTACAATACTACAGTACTACAGTACGACAATACTGTGTGTGTTCAGGTGTTTCAGGAACACATGAGCGGATCAGAACACCTGAAGAAACTGACGGCGATGACACACTCCATCTGCTTCAACATACACACACTGCAGGACAGGTAGACGCACACACACACACACACACACACACACACGCTGTGGACTGGCCTGATTGGTTCACTTTTGTCCTCCAGGGGGTGTCGGCCTGATGCTCAGCGCTGGTGTGACACCTGTCAGACTCACTTCAGTGATGACATCATCATCCATCGACGGACAAAACAACACAAGGTAGGAAATGACTCTGATGACATCACAGTCACCTATGGTTTTGATTGGTCAGAAGGGCTCCTTTGCTGCTCCGCATTGAAAACATGTCCACTTATGAATCAAAGGCTTTTATTGTGAAGAGGTCACAGGAAGTATTGTGTGTGTCTCCAGATGTGTAAGCAGCTGTGTCGTCCCTTCTGTCCCGTGTGTAAACGTCACTTCAGGACTCCCAGGAAGTTTGTGGAGCACATGAAGTCTGCAGAGCACAAGGAGCAGGTACTAATACCACAGGGTTACTGCAGTACTAGTACTAACACCACATGTTTACTGCAGTACTAGTACTAACACCACATGTTTACTGCAGTACTAGTACTAATACCACAGGGTTACTGCAGTACTAGTACTAACACCACATGTTTACTGCAGTACTAGTACTAACACCACATGTTTACTGCAGTACTAGTACTAACACCACATGTTACGGCAGTACTAGTACTAACACCACAGGGTTACTGCAGTACTAGTACTAACACCACATGTTTACTGCAGTACTAGTACTAACACCACATGTTACGGCAGTACTAGTACTAACACCACATGTTTACTGCAGTACTAGTACTAATACCACATGTTTACTGCAGTACCAGTACTAATACCACAGGGTTACTGCAGTACTCGTACTAATACCACAGGGTTACTGCAGTACTAGTACTAACACCACATGTTTACTGCAGTACTAGTACTAACACCACATGTTTACTGCAGTACTAGTACTAATACGACATGTTTACTGCAGTACCAGTACTAATACCACAGGGTTACTGCAGTACTAGCACTAACACCACATGTTTACTGCAGTACTAATACTAACACCACATGTTTACTGCAGTACTAATACTAACACCACATGTTTACTGCAGTACTAGTACTAACACCACATGT